TCAGCCATGCTCAGAAGAGACTCACCCAAAAGAGCAAGTTGAAGAAAAACAGGACATACTTCAGCACTTTCAAGCTGCTCATGCCCATTCTGGGATATTCTTGCACTAAAAAGTGGAAGGAAATCAAGAGGATGTAAGTGACCTGGTTCTGCAAGGTGGCTGCAAGGATCAGAGGCCACAGATGTTCAGCGTTCAAGGCTCTCAAGCATTACCTTGGGCTTGAGCCGTGACTCCTCTGGAAAGTTCCCCCAAACTCCCTTCTCTCTCAGCCTCTGAACTGAGGTCCCAATTGGCTCATCTTGGACACTCACTTTTGCGTCAACTCAGCAAGCCAAGGATGCTTAACACTGAATTAAGCACTCTAGGAGTAAGCAATAGAGCCCTTCTTAGAGGAGGGGGAGCCACAGTGACACGCACAGAGCCAGGCTCAGGGACTAGGGCCTGGGCTCATGCTCAAGCGCGCAGTCCTGGGGCGGGGGGCTGGTCAGCCAGCTGGGGCTCGGTCCCTCCAGGCTCCGAGGTGCGCGGCCTACACGCCTCTCCGCGTGGAGGGGGCACATAATCACGCCTCGTCTACTCTTCTGAAGGCATTGCCGGTGTTTCCTATTCTAAGGCGCTGGGGAGAGGCGGCTGTGACTAAGTCGTAGCTACCCAGTGGAGAAACGAAACAAGACAGCAATGAGAACTTGGAACTTTTAAAAAAATAGATGTTTTTTTTTTTTTTTTTCTCAATGAGGACATCAATGTCCAAAGCCTGGCCCTCAATTCTAGAGATCCAGACACATACTTTTAAATTTCTCTCAGAGGTAATGGGGTTCATAGAGCGACTCATATTGTAAAAACACATGAGACTCGTATATAAAACAATGTCAATTTTGTGTGTGTGTTTCCCCCAGTAGAACTGTGCCTCTTCTGGTGCCTGAGTAGTTGTACAGCCACTGTACCCTCTCTGCAGTGTCAGGGTCCCCAAAATCAGGTGGTCCTGAGGCACAGTGAACCCAGGCTGTGGGTGAGCCTGGTGAGCTACTCCTGCTCCACGTAGACTAATCTCTGGGAAAGACCAAAGGCTTATCCCTATTTCACACTGTTTCCTTCGCTTTGCTTTGTCTTTTTTCTTTCCTTCTTGCCTTGACCCTCAAAATTATTCTTAATTCCTCGTCATCATTTCAACCAAGTGAAAATAAAGTCAATTAGATTATGAGTGTATTTGGATACGTAGCGGTCGTCCCCCCTTATCCTCAGGGGACATGTTCCGAGAATCTCAGCAGACGCCTGGAACCCCAGACAGGACTAAACCTCATATATTACTATGCTTTTTCTGCACATACATATCTACGATGAAGTTGAATTTAAAGTTAGGTACAGTAAGAGACTAACAACAATAAAGTAATAAAATAGAACAGTTATATCAATATATTGCAATAAGTTACGTTGAAGTGGTCTCCTTCTGAAAGTATCTTAATTGTACCGTGTTCGCCCTTCCTATTCTTGTGATGGTAGGAGATGGCACAATACCGACGTGATGACATGAGACGGAGCGAGGCGAACGACGGAGGGCCTGTTAGGGTCACTTAAGGGCAGCACTAGTGAGGACGCTGACGAGGGAATGACTCGCCCCAGGCGGACAGAGGGGGATGCTGCCGGGAAAGCGTGCACTTTAAAACTCATGAATTGTTTATTTCTGGAATTTTCCAGAAAATATTTCCACACCGTGGTGGGGCCATAGGTAACTGAAACCGTGGAAAGTGAAACTCTCTCACCCAAAACACCCAAAAAAGGTACGAAGTATAAAACGAGTGCCTGCAAGACACAGAACATCAGACAACTCTCAACACTCAGTGGCAAGAAAGGAAAGACTCCCACTTACAAACAGGCAAAAGATCTGAACAGATACTTCACCAAAGAAGACACGCGGACGGCAAGTAAGCAAATGAAAAAGTACCCTACTTGGGCAGGCATTAAGGAAATGTAAATGCAAACGGCAGCGAGACGCCAGGGCCCACCTCCTGGAGTGACTGGCGAGAGGACAGAAAGGCAGCCAGGCATCCGGCGCTGAGGAGGGGGTGGGCCTAGAACTCTCATGCTCTTGGTGAGAATGGAAGAGGGTGTGTCCACGTCGAGCAACCGTTTGCCAGCTTTGTAAAAGGTGAAGCATAACACTTACCATGTGACCTGGCCATCCCACTCAAGGTATTTACCCAAGAGAAATGAAAACATGCACATACAAAGACTCGTATAGAAATGTTTACGGCAGCTTTATTTGTAATAAAAATAGGTCACCTCTTCCCCAACAACCTGGGATCCCTTGGCAACTGCTTCAGGCCCCTGTCATCTATCTGCCCAGAGTCCCGACTAAGGAAGTGCCCACAGACCTGGGAATATCCCCACTGACTCTTTCCTTTATAGCCAGGGAGGAGAACCTCTGCTTTTCCCTTCCCTGATTTTCTACTTGCTCAGACTCACCCAAATTGAAGGAGAAAAGCTGCCTATTTGGTGAAGATCGTCACTAATTTTATCACATGCAGCGATGGCCCCAGTTTTCATATAAATCCAGAGGCAATGCCACTCGATTCCCCCTCCCCTTTTTTCACTGTGGCCAGTTGTTGAGCTCCCATCCCTTCACCCCCGCCAACCCACTGCCTGGAAGGCCCAACGCCCTCCACGGTTAAAGTCGCCACACCCAGCCCCATGACTCACGGCTCTGTAAAAAAGTTCCCTGATGTCAGCTTCTAGGAAGCCTCCACGACTGAACTGCAGTTAGCTGTGGTCACCTCCCACGGCCCAACGTGGGGGCCACAGATGAAGTTACCCTTTGATTTCCTCCAAGCAGAGAGCTTGGGCAGGTGAAGTGTCTTGTGGATTTCTAGCTCGACCTATCTCTCTTCTTTGACCCATACTGGCTCCATCTAGTCTTGAATTTAACCCAGTTTGGTAGTGGCTAAGGTTGGACAGAAGCTTCAAGAAACTCCATCCTTGGTCTTCAGCCTTATCTGATCTAATCTTAGAGAACAGTCTGAAGTCACAGCAAGACAGCTTTGGTGTTACACGGACTGAGGTATTCATGAGATGTTAATACATGTCCCTCAAACACAAGCAAACAAACAGTACGGAGTAAGAGGAATCCATGGTCAAATAATTTTGGAAGTAAATGGGATTAAATAAAAATAAACCACAAAACAATGAACAACTTTTTAAATGAATGACTTCTGAGAAACTTGTTATATGCTCATGTACACTGTGGGTCTCAAAGAGGAAAGTCTACTTATGGAGTTATACAAACCTATTCTTGTACTAAAGATGACTTATTAACAGCTCGGAGAACATAGTGTTCCACGGAACTCAGTTCGATAAACACAAGTAATGGAATCAAACAGATGTAGGTCAAGCTCAGAGCTTCCCTACCAGCCCATGTCTGAGGGTGACACAGCTTCCTGCTAGATTTTCAGGAATAGAATCCATCAGGAACCAGAAGGTCTTTTATAATCCTTTGCTTGTTTCATTTTTTTGTAAATACCTTTTAAAAAAGTTTTGTATGTCCTTCGCATAAAAATTCAAACAATAAAGTACAAAGAAGAAAGCATAAGATCTTCTGCAACCCCACCTGCCAGAAATAACGACTGATATTTTTGGTGACTATCTTTCCAGACAGTTCTCTACACACAGTCTTCTCTCTATACTGATCTATTCGCCGATTTATGGAGAAGAGTGTGGGGTTCAGCGAGGTGACCGCTGGCTTCCTAGCCCTTCCTACACGGAGTCTGTGGAGGCCTTTGGTTCACCAGGGGAGGATATTGGAGCCTCGATGAAGAAGTTTTTTTCTGAGTAGGAAAGAAACTCCGTTCTCCATGAGGGCCCCCACATTAAGGCCCTCTTGTCAAAATAAATTTAGGTAGAGGACAGGGTTCACTGAGCCCTGAAAGCTGCCAAGTTCTTCATAAACATTTATAATCCTCACGTCAACTCTACAACTTAGGTGTCAAGAGCCTCACTTTGCAAACAGGAAATCCAAGCCTCAGACGGCTGTATATTTGGCACAGGCTCACCAGGCTAGTGATCAGCAAAGATGGGGCACAGGCCAAGGTGTTTGGGCCCCCGAGGCCCACACTCCTTCCACTGCCCCGGGCTCCAGTCCTGTGCCTCCCACTACCCAGGTCAACTCTCGCTGCGGAGCGATGAGCCTCTAGGAGGACCCCATGCGTCACGCGTGGTTTGAGCTCCTGTGGGCAGTGGCTGAGGGGGTGGGGGCTATGCATGTATGTCTCTTTCAGGGGGTAATGAGCAATTGTGGGGGGAGAGGTGAGACTAACATGAAACAGAGCCATCAGCTTGTACGCATTCGTTTTCTCTCATCTCTCCATCGCCTTGTCAAAGGGATGTGACTCTCATCTGATTGCTCCTTGACCTTGTGGTCTGGTGAAATTTTCCCCCTTCGAGGCTGATCTCAGGGGACAGGAATTGGTGGTTCGTAGACAAGAGACAGAAGGAAGACACCAAGAGAAGAACGAAAATGAAGAAAGGCAAAGCCAGATGACCTTGGAGGCTCACTCCCTTCCATTTGGAAGCTTAGCAAGAGAGCGGCTCAACAGAAAACCATAGATGCTACTAACGACAGAGCCGAGACAGGGACCTTTGTAACAGGCCACTCTAAACCAGGAACAGTTACTCCTGTCACAGAGTCAGTGGACTGCAGGTTCTCTTTCTTCACTAAAAATATGTAGGACTGCGGTGGACGGTTCCTGTCCGAGAGGCCGGCGCCCGGTGTGGGCAAGGCTCTCTCCGGGATAATGGAAACCACTCTCGTGGCATTTCTGTAAAAAGTGTGAATCAGAATCTAGACATGAGGAAGCATCAGACGAACCCAAATAAAGGAACATTCTAGAAGGTAACTTGCTTGTACTCCGCAAGAATAGTAACGTCATGAAATACCAAGAAAGACTCAGGGACTGTTCCAGGTAAAAGGAAACCAGAGAGACATGACAGTTAAAAGTAACGTGGGATCAGTGATTTCCTTTTGCTAGAAAGAATGTTAATGGGGCAGTTGGTAGAATGAATAAAATCTATAGATTGTTAATAGCACTGAGTCAGTGTTCATTTCTTGGTCCGGATCGTTGTACAATGCTTGTGTAAGAGAATGTTTCTGTTTGTAGAAAATACACACCAATTCAACGGAGGGAAAAAAGGGAGGGCACCTGTAACACTTTCAACAATAAAGATAAATTAATTTTCAAAAAGAAAATAAACACCAATTCACCTAGGGGGGCAAGGAGATCATGCCAGCAATTACTCCCAAATAAGAAAGCCAGGGAAAAAATAAGGAAAATGTGATAAAATGTTAAAATTTGGGAAATCTGGGTGAAAGGGGTTCAGAAATTCTTGGTACTGTAAGTCTGAATGTTTGTCAAAATAAAAAGTTAAAGACTTGAACATAAGTAAATGATCTAAGGGATTCTGGTCCCAAAATCATGACAACTTAAGTCCCCGAGACTGAGATTCTACCATAGACTTTTCTTTAGAACAAACCCCGGGATAATTCTTTAATGCCTCTGTTTGCTCCTGATAGAGAATGGATGTTAAGCCACGAGTTCAAATTTACTTGAACAAATTTCCAAAGATGTGAGGTGTCAAAATCATTTCTTCCCCCTGTTCCTCAACTAGTTCTGAGACAGGAAGCATCAAACAAAAGTTGGACAAATTAAATAGATATTAAATATATGATCTTAAATGTATTAAATATATTGATTTCAAATCAATTTGGCTTGTAATTAAGTTATATGTTGCTTATGTTAAAAGGCACTGGAAATTTCTTTATGTGAGCAAGGAACGCAGTCTGGCGATGCCTGTTTAATAAGCAGCCTATAAAAAAAAAGGGAGTGTAGTGGAGGAAAGAGCATTCCAGGGACAACCAGGAAATATTCTAAATAGTTAAGTAATTTCACGGCTTCAGACAAGGCACCTTAACTGAAAAGTAAGCCGACTGGAATGTTCTAATAGCTAGGACGTCCGGGCTCTCACCATGAGCTGGATGCTTTATTTGAACCTAAACAATCTCCAAGTTCTCTGTAAGTAACAACATTCTAACACTTGGAATATAACACCCTTATTTTAAACAATTCTAGAACTGTAGCCTCGGCCTTGCCTCCGTGCCCGACCCAACGCATGGCTCCACGCCGAGGCCTCACCCACCGGCTTTGGCACCGCAACGCACCACCTTCCCGTTTCCCACGGCCTGACCCAACTGACCACCCAGGCCCAGCCGTGACGCTCTGCTCCGAGGCCCACCCTGCACATCTCTGGCGTCTCCACGCGACTTTGCCTCGGTGCTCTGCACCTGCCGTGGCAGCCGAGTCCTGGAGCTTCCCGAGGGCAGGTGCCCAGGGTCTAGGCCCAGGGTGGTGGGCACCCACCGCATGCTCACTCGGTGCAGGAAGCGCCATGGACTGACTAACGTGGGAGCGTAACCAAACCACCGCAAATAAAGCACCACAGCGTTTCCTGGAACAGAAGCCGAGAGGGAGAGAAAGTAGCTATAACCACGCGCAGAGCTCCACCCTCCGCCCTGACAGCGCAAAATCTAGGCCGAGGAGGCAGATATCTGCCTCTCCGCGCTCATTTCAGGCCGTGCCCCATCAGTTGTGCCGTGTGGCTGTCTCAGGTGTAGCCCCACGCAGGGCTGGGCCCAGCACTCGCCTGGTTAGTGATCTTACCTCCCACCCCCAGGGGCTGGGATGCTAGAATGTAAGAGAAAGAGATTTCCACTTCCTGTGGCCCTGCAGCCGTGGCCTGTTACACCCCAGCCTTGCTTGCTCTCCTTTCTAACATACCCGGGGGCTCCCCCTTCTTTGAGTTTGCATGTCCTGTGCTCCGTCTGAAATGCCACTACCTCCGTCTCCATAGTAAACTCATGTTTCTTTGAAAATGAACCCAAGCAGTCACCCGCAGCCCCACCCACCGGGAGTCTTTGGCACGCTCCTAAACTACCTTTTGTGCACACTGTCCCATTGATTGCAGAAAACATCACATTGTGTTGTGTTTGTGTGTTGTATTTGTCTGACCCCCATGCTAGACTCTACGATCGCCTTGAATTTGAGGGCTACGTCCGTCATCGTTGTCTCCAGCTCTGAGCGCGACGCTTGGCCACTGGGAGTGAGGCAGAGGAACAGGCCTGGGGGCCGAAGTCTGAAGCCTTCTGAGCAGCCAGAGGTCAAACTGAGGACATAAGAAACTAAGACTACAGAGTTTGATCTTCCCAGGGGGTGCCCCTCCTCGCCCCCAAAGGTAAGGTTCCTAGGGTGGTGGTAGCTGTGAAGAGATGGGCGTTGAATCCCACCCTGTGGGTTTAAAGGTACCCAATCCTTTCATTTAAAGGCTAAATATTATTAACTGGCCCACACAGGAAACACCACAGGAAATCAAGTTTTAGCTCACCCTCTGCTCTAGTTCAACCACAGTTTCAAAACAGGGCAGATTCGGGTGGAAATTGAGAAAGCAAAACTTCTTGTGTGGCCAGCAGCAAAGATTCTGCATTTGCTCAACTCTTCCAAAGCGCTCACGTACATATCTAATCTCTCTTGTCTCCCCCGTGAGTTCCTCAAGAGCAGGGTTATTTGCTGGACAAATCCCCTCCCACCTGGCCAGCCACCCCCTCCCCACCAGCGCCTGGCCCCAGAGGGTGCTTATCTCCTGATTATTAAGTAACTCTGTTAAAAAGTCTAGTCTTTATTTTTAAATGCAGGGTTCAGTAGCCCCTGAGGTGCTTTGGGAATCTAGAGCCCTATGTGGAATGCCCACCCCTCATTGTCAGGTGGGTAGCGATGGTCCTGGGGAGCTTTCCCCTCCCCTCCAGGAGAAATTCTGGCAGGTCCTGGAAGGAGAAAGCTCTGCTCTAGAGTTCCCTGGGGTGACCAGACCCTCAGCCGGCATGGTGGTCACAGAAGGCGAAGACCAAAGTGTGGCGGTGACTTTCTGAGTCCGCGAGACCCCAATCATTAGTTATGGGGCGTGAATGAGGAATCATGCCAATCGAGTTTCACTGGTCGGTGCATGATGTATTTACTCAGATTCATGTTTTGTGCACCAAGGATACGTTTATTTGGAGGAACTGAGGGTCAGAATGCCCTTCCTGCCATTTGAAAGCCACCAATCTAAGCGTCCCTTAGAGATATCTACCTCTCAGCTGTGAAACACAGGTGCTGGGCACGTCCTGTGCTCCTGCCCGAGGTGGCTGTTGTGGTTTTACTAAGGCCTTTTACTTAGTGGCTCTGAGGAGTCACAGTGGGAGTCACCGCCTTTACTTTTGAAATTTTCTCACAGGCAGGAGACCTGCTCTCCCAGCTGCCTTTTTAGATGGCTCCGACTGCTGGTTCTCTCCCCACTTGCAAATCACAACACCCATCTTCTAAAGACCAGAACACGCAGGAAATCTCCCCAGCCTCGTATCCCACAGAAGGCTCTAGGCCTTAGGAAGGACCCCCCAGAAACTCAGGTTCAGAAGCAGTTCAAGCACAGGACGCCCTGACCCAAAGCAGTGTCAGATCATGGGAACCTGGTTAATTAAAAGTCTTTCTGGCCTTTTGAGGGCTACTAGGACCTTGCTGATCTTTTTACTCCCTGCACAGTATTTGTAAAACAGAAGCAGGAGATGTTAGGGTGACAAGACAGGTATCTGGAGAGTCCCAAGAAGATACCCTATCCCACGTCACCTGGCCCAGGTCTCTGCTCTCAACCTGGATTAAAATGTCCCCAGTCTTACCTTTTGCAGGTACCTTTCTTAGTCCTTTGGGCAAAATTGATGGTTGTACTCAAGGTGGCCGTCACACGGCGGGGTAGCAAGGATGTCCGGGGTTATTTGTGTAAAAAGAGAAGTGGAGGGGAATAAATGTCATCACCCTGTGACGACAGGAAGCCCAGATGAGGCGAGGGAGGAAGCGAGGGCGGCCCACCCTCCTCAGGCTCAGAGACAGATCCGCCCCCGTGGCTTCTTAGAGCTTGCTCCCATGACCTGCCCAGAGGCCTAAACTGATTTCTGTGACACCCAGGCACTCATGTGTGAGTGCGGCGGGTGCCCGGATGATTTGGGCTTTACTTATTTTGTCTGGAATAGGACAGAGCCTCTCAGTCAAGGTGGCACCTCAGGATGACCTGTGGATCTGTTCAAGAACGAGTGTCTGCCCCTCCCCCCCGCTCCCCATTCGGGGAGGCTGAGACGGGGGTGCAGTCCAATAATCCATATTTTCAACTATTCTCTAGGACCGAGACTTAGGGATGCCTGTTAAGCCCCCTTCCCCCCGCCTCCCCCTGGCTGCCTTCCAGGAGACCTCCGGTCTCCAGTCTGATGGGCCACCATTCCCAGGCCTCTGCGTCTCCGAAGCTGGACTGTCCTTACGCAGGGGTATTGCTGGAGGTAAACCCTAAGGCACAATCCAAGGGACACTGGTCGAAGTGATCGGGTTGATAGAGGGAACTAGATTTAGGGCCCAGGGACCTGGGCGTCAGTCCCAGCTTCATCTGCGTGAGCTCTGTGGTGCCAAGCAGACCTCAGCCTCTCAGCTTCGGTTAGTAATAGTAACGCAAAAAATGACACGAAGGGGCCACCTGGAAAAGGAGCCCACGCTGCCGTCCCAGAGGACCCGTCTTACTCCTCCACCTCTGGGATGTTAGGACTGGCAATGTGGCCTTTGGACTGGGCCTAAAGCACCCTTGTTTTCCACAGACTGTCTGCAGTAACAGGACAGGTAACATGAGCACCCGACTGGAAGTTAAAGACATTCTTTAGACGAAGCATCACTGCTTCCTGGCCGGTGTGGCTCAGTTAGTGAGCAGCGACTTGTGCACCAAAAGGTCACCGGTTCAATTCCCAGTCAGGGCACATGCCCAGGTTTCGTGTTGGGTCCCCGCGTGGGGTGTATGGGAGGCAATCGATTGCTGTTTCTCTCTCTCTCCTCTAAAAAAACGTATTTTTTAAAAATAGCATCACTATGTTGGCTAATCTGCACCTATAGAAATTCCTTCTTTCTATTCCTGTAAATGTTCCCCTCCCCTTTCTCATGAATACCCTTTGCCTTCACCTCCTAATCGGAACACTATTTGGGACTCTGCCTGAATCAGTGTTCCCCGAATAGCTCTTCTTTTGCATCTCAGGTAAACTCTTGTTGCCTCTGACCTTGGCCTTTTATTTTTAGGTTAACAGTAACATCTAATTATAATCCTACTAAATAGTTCCTGTTAGGTCCCCATTTACCGATGAAAATATAGAGGCTCAAAGAAGTTAGCTAATTTTTCCAAGATTATACAACTAAGAAATGGCAGAGCCGAGACTCAAATTCAAGGTCTCAGAGAATGCTGTTCTAGAAACATCATGATCGATAGATTTTAAAAAAATACATTTCCAGTTTCCATTCTGCTGTGTCAGCTGGAATTTTCTTAGACGGAAAGAGTCCGGGGCCAGGTAATAACCCGCCTGTATCTCTAGCCAGCCGGGAGCTGGGACTCAGTCACTGAGCTTCAGTGGCTCCGTCAGATGGGTGAAGGGACGGACACTGCCCCTTGGGACCTGCCCCTGGGAAAGCTGGGGCTCCGCTGTCTGTTCCTTCGTCGCCCCAGAGGGACGGATTCTGGAAAAGCCTCTGACCCCGGCTGGCTCCGGGGAAAGCTGTTAAACAAGGTGGGCAGGTTCTGGCCTGCAGGACTTGTCAGCCCCGGGTATTCTGTTAGTATTCTCTAAATATGCAGATTGCCCCGAACTTATTGGACATAGAACAGTGTGTGTGTGTGTGTGTGAGTGTGTATGTGTGAGTGTGTGTGTGTGTGTGTGTGTGTGTGTGTGGTTTTCCCATGGGACGATTTTCAGTGTAACTGCCCCTTAGGAGATGCTGTTACCGACGCTCCTCTCCCCGCCCACACCGCACAGGCCGCCCCTGGGGCGGGGAGATGAAGGAAGGTTCTTGCTCCACTCACACGTCCTTTCATCTCGGCCATCCGACGGCTTTGATTACGACAGCTCTGTGCCAAAGACTCACAAGTCTATACGTGCCGCCCGATTTCTCATCTGAACTCCACACAGGTTCCTGAAGCCCAGTGTCCAAAACCCAGCTCAGCAAGCCCGACACCCGCCCTCTCCAGCCTGCCTTCCCCCTGCCCCTCCCCCATGACCATCTCAGGGGAAGACCTAACCAACCTCCCCGTTGCCCAAGTCCGAAACCAGGCGTTCTCTGAGGCTACTCTCTCGCTCACACCACCACATATTACTATTGTTTTTGAATCCTCACCTGAGGATATGTTTTTATTGATTTTAGAGAGAGAGGAAGAGAGAGAGACACACACACATCCATGTGAGAGAGAAACATCGATCTGTTGCCTCCGGTAAGCTCCCAACCGGNGAGAGAGGAAGAGAGAGAGACACACACACATCCATGTGAGAGAGAAACATTGATCTGTTGCCTCCCGTAAGCTTCCAACCGGGAATCGAGCCCACAACATTTTGGTGTACAGGATGACGCTCCAACCAACTGAGCCACCCAGCCCGGGCTATTCTTTAAAAATGATTAAACAAGACAATTTAGGTGATGCAAACTTTATTTAACTCTTCATGAAGCGAGCTATCTCCACTTGGAGGCTGCAAAGCGAAGTCTCTTTTAGAAGGGCGCTAATCTCACTCACAAGGACTCCACCCTCATGGCCTCATTATCTCCCCGATGCCATCACCCTGGGGATTTAGTGTCAACATATGAATGTAGGGGATGCAAACATAGTCTATAGCACATACTCAGAAAATAACTGAATTCCAGAATCTTAGAGCTTGGAGTATGACCCATGGAAACAACGGAGGGTTGGAAACCAGAGGCATTCACAGAGATACTTCAAGAAGCCGTGGGGCATCTTTGCGTCTCGGGCTCTTCATCTGTGCTGTGGGGAGAATTTCTACTTTATAGCAAAACAAGGACCAAAGGAGAAAGAATGTGAAAAGCTTTATAAGGCTTAAAGCGTGATACGAATGCTGGTTATCATTCCTTACAAAGCGCCTAGCTAGTCTTCCAGACTTTTCCGACTTGGAGCCTGAGACCTCAAGAGGTTCAGAGACTTGCTTCAGGCCTGCCGGTTGGACAGGACACAACCGAACTCACTCGGTGGGTAGGGAAACAGTCAGACCCCAGCAGGATGCCCACGAAGCAGCCCTACTGTGAGGAAGACTCTTGATCTCTGCATGAAAAGTGACTCTTATTAAGGTCCGTATTCATTGAGCTCAGGTGCATGTGGACCCGTGAGAAACCACCAGGATTGTGAGACACCGTAGCCCAGACTAAGTGAGCTGTCTTGTCCTCTTGCCTGAGCTCAGAGGGCAGGGTGACAGGCGTCTCTGCAAACGCAGCTACTCTCTGTGATGACAGAGTGGCTATGATCTCCTCTCTTACCCCCTGATCCAGCCTTGACTGTACATGTCTGTCCCTTCCTGCCCATCAGCGAAGGACTGCACAGCCCTGGGACAAGAATCAGGGGCTCTGGGTCATCGTGGCGTCTTCCCTTGGCTTCTCCTCAGAAGGGATCTAAGTCTGGATGACAAGAGTCTCCTTTTGTTTGGCCACCTACTCCTGAGCCTCAAAGCACAAACATGCCAGGGCGTGGCCTTGCTAACTGGGGTATCCAGTGCCCGACAAGGACGGGCATCCTTCGTAAGCCCAGGGGAGTCCTTGGCAAGTGTTGCTTTGAGACTCAACTTGCAGAAGAGAAATCGGGTACAGAGATTCAGAGACGTAGAAAAGGCAGCACAGGCAGGGAACCGTGACACAGGATCACCCACCGAAGCTGTGCCTTCTCGAAACATCCCTCCTTTTTCTCCTCTTAGGGCACCAACCGTTCTTGACCTTACAGGACACGTTTATCCAAACATGACCTCTGTGGGGGTTTTTGTTGTTTTTTTTGGGGGTATATTATTCCAGTAAGAAAAATACGGGAAGCTATAATAAAAGGTCTAATTGAAATAAAATATATGCATGTTTGCATCTACATATATAGCAGCAAAAGTATTTATTCAAATAAAGCTGTAAATAGAACAGCAACACATACGATAGATAAAAGCAGAACTGCTCAGCGAGCGCAGGGGCGGGCCTCGGAGGCTGCTCGCCCCCTTCCCCTCCCTGGTGACTTCTTAGGCACCTTTGCCCAACTCTGAAGATAGAAAACCACTGGCCCAAGAGGTCAGGCCCCTGGCTCTTTGCCAGCGTTGGGTTTATTTTCACTTGTGGGGCAGGCTGTTCTTCAGCTGTGAGCCTCCCAGGCTTTGTGTTCCATCGCCACGTCGCAGTGGAAGGAAGAAGCCAGAGCTGCACCCAGCGGCCCCTGTTCCCGTTCGGGAGGCTGGGGTTGTGGCTTCCCGCGGAAGGGGCGGTGGGGAACTGTGTGTCCCAGCTGCAGCTGTGCTGGTCGCGGTCATCCTGAGCCTTTGCCCCCTGACTGGAGTCTGTGAGCTCGTAGGAGGTGCAATGGGTCACTTGGGGCTGGCAGGGGGTGTCAGTGGCTCTGGCATGTGCCATGATACCCTACACACTCCCTCCTGGCCAAGTATAACAAGACAGGATCCTACAGGCAATCCTGGCACATACAAGGGGAGTTCCTTACGTGTCCCTGCGCAGGGAGAAAGGCCATTGAGCTGGTCGGCCATGTGGTACAGGGGAGAAAGGCCTGGACTCAGAAACAGAAGTACCAGATTCTGGTCTTTGTTTTATAATTAACCAAGGGATCACTTCCCTCTCTCTGAACAAAGATAGACCAGCTAATGCATACATTCCCTCTGGGCCTTAAAAATTCTGAACATTTATTACTTTATAATATAAAACATGAATTCCTGCTGCATGATAGCTTGGCTGGAACTCGGTGCAGAAGGTGCAACTTAGAAGCAGAGATAGAAAAGCGACTGTTCATTGAGCTCCTCCCGTGGGCCAGACAGGGCCGTCCGTGTTTTCACTTGGTGGCAGTGCGACCGGCTTGGCATTACCTCCTTTGCAGATGAGAAAGGCTGCGTTAGGGTAACTTGCCCAGAGCGCACAGCTAGAAAGTGGCAGCGCCTGAATTTTAAATCTGCCTGTGACGCGAAGCCCGCTGTCCTATCCGGCTACCCAGCTAACCGGACATGAACACTTAGCCACGGATGCGTCACAGCGGGTAACTGAGAGCTGACTTTGACTTTCACCAGGTACCTACCATAAGCTCATCTCACAGTATTTTCCTAATTTATAAGAGAAGCAAGAACAGGGCAACTGTCTTGTCCTAAGGCCAAGCCTGAGAGTGTTAATAGGAAAGTTTAGGCACGAGATCATCCTAACCTGGTCACCAGGGAAGCACACTCTGTAGGAGCCAGACAACGGGGCGGGGGGCCTCTGAGAACTTGATGCTACCTCGGCTTCTCTCCCTGAAGTCAAGCACATGCCCGCCACATCCTATGCCAGCAGCGGGAGGAGCGAGTCCAGGCAAGGTCCTGGCAGAGAGCCTGGCAGGAGGCGGCACTCAATAAAAACGAAGCCCCGGCTGCCGGTAGCAGTGGGGAGATGGAGCTTTGCAGAGACAGGCAGGGCCTTTGCCCCATCTCACTTCCCCAAATCTTCACTTCCCACTTCCAGGTCCTAGAGTGCAAAGGGTAGAAAATGCCAAATCTTCGCCAGAGAAAGGAACTGAAGCTCCATAGTCTCGATGTATAATTAACATAATTATGATTACTGCTGTTATGTTTAAATATGTTTATTTTTTTAGAGTCGTTTTAGGTTCTCAGCAAGATTGAGCGGAAAGTGCAGAGATTTTCCATATACTCTCAGCCCCCACGCTTGCATAGCCCCCCCACTATCAACATCTCCACCAGAGTGGTACATTAGCTAGAATCGGTGAATTCACACCGACACATATAATCACCCAAAGTCCATAGTTTACATTAGGGTCTACTCCTGATGTTGTACATGCCATGGGTTTTGACAAATGTATAAAGACATACATCTACCATTATAGTATCATACAGAGTAGTTTCACTGCCCTAAGAATCCTCTGTGCTCTGCCTATTTATCCTCCCCTAAGCCCTAACCTCTGGTAACCACTAATCTTTTTACTGTCTCCATAGTTTTGCCTTTTCTAGAATGTCATAGAGTTGGGATCAGATAGTATGTAGCCTTTTCAGATTGGCTTCTTTCACTTAGTCATATGCATTTAAGCTTCCTCTATGTCTTTTCATGGCTTAGTAGCTCACTTCTTTTTAGAGCTGAGTAATATTTCATTGTCTGGATGGACCAGTGTATTTTTCCATTCCTCTACTGAAGAACATCTTGGTTGCTTCCACGTTTTGTCCATTATAAATAAAGTTGTTATAAACATCCATGCGTAGTTTTTGTGCAGGCATAACTTTTCAGCCTATTTGGGTAAATACCAAGGAATGCAGTTGTTGAATCATATGGTCAAAGTATGTTTAGTTTTGTAAGAAACTTAGAAACTGTCTTCCAGAGTGTCCGTGTCATTTCACATTCCCACCAGCAACGAGCAAGGGTTCCCGTTGCTCCACAGCCTAGCCAGCATTTGGTGTGGTCAGTGTTGTGGAATTTTGTCATTCTAAGTGTATAGTGGTCATCTTAAATTTTGAATTACAAGTGTAATTTTATATTTATACATGTAGTTTCACATTAGTTATTTGATGTATGTTTGTCTTCCCTTTATAGACTATGAGTTCAGTGAGAGCAAAAACCGCCTCTGTTTTTGTTTATTTTATCACTTAGATGTGGTAGAGTGCCCTGGACATAGTTGACCTCCAATGAATATTTGAATGAGTGAGTAACCAGCCTTACCAGCTCACTTTGGATGTGAGCTTTAACACAAGGATTCCGATCTACTGAGGATGATGGAGCAGAATCTGACCTACTTAGATGATTTCTGGGACATCAGTTCACCCAAAGCTGCCAGAATTCAACAGTGTCCTCAGCCATACCCAGAGGCACCTGGTCATCTGGCTTTGGTAGCTTCTGGTTTAGGTAGTTGCCTTTTAGGTAGAACCTAAATGACTCAATCCAACGGTTAAAGTTGCTCACTAGCCCTTGGGGAAATATGGCTCTTTCCCCTTTCGCTTTATCGGCGGAAAGCTGGCCTCCTACGTAGGCAGTTTTTCAGGGCGTCATGAATGTCTCTGTTTCTCAGGCTGTAGATGATGGGATTGAACATGGGCGTCAGGATGGTGTAGAGCAGAGAGGACCCTTTGCGCAAGAGCCGGGACGAGTTGGCCGAGGGCACGAGGTACGTGGCAATCAGTGTCCCATAAAACACCGTGACCAAGGTGAGGTGGGAGGAGCAGGTGGAGAAGGCCTTCTGCCGGCCGGTGCCAGACGGAATCCTCAGGAGAGCAGCCAGAATGCAGGAGTAAGACGCCGCTATCAGGAGAAACGGGACCAGGGTCACTGCCGAAGAGGTGGCGTAAGCAATGGTCTCGGTCAGCGAGGTGTCCACGCAGGAGAGGTGAACCAGAGGAGTAAAGTCACAGAAGAAGTGATCGATTTCATTGGGTCCACAGAAGGTTAGTCTGGACAGTAGGACCAGAGTGACTGCCGTCAGGAGGAAGGAACAGAGCCAAGAGCTGGCAGCCAGCCGAGTGCAGAGGGCGCCAGTCATGAGGGTGGGATAGTGGAGGGGGTGACAGATGGCCAGGTAGCGGTCATAGGACATCACAGCAAGCAAGAGACATTCTGTTGCAGCCAGGGACCCGAAGAAGTAGAATTGTGCCAGGCAGCCAGCCACGGAGACAGTCTTCTGATCAGCTACGATAATCAGCAACATCTTGGGGACAAGGTTGGAGGTATACCAGATCTCCAGAAAGGACAGGTTCACCAGGAAGAAGTACATGGGGGTGTGGAGGTGACGGCTGAGCAAGACTAGCAGCACAATGAGGACGTTTCCAGAAACAATGAAGACGTAGAAAACGGAGAACATCATGAAGAGGAAAACATTTAGCTGTCGGTTGGAAGAGAAGCCTCCGAGCACGAATTCCACGACCTCCGTCTGGTTTGCCCAGGGCAGGCTCACCATGCCTCGGCGGCCCCGGCAGCGAGCACCCAGGGATACAACCGTCCACGTGCAGGAAGCCCTGGCTCCCCCCCAGAGCGTGGGCTGAGCGTGGGTGAGCCTCGTGCCCCACTCAGGTGTTTGCAACTTCTACTTGGGTGGAGAAGCAGCATCTTTCTCTCAGGGCCTGAAGTGGGAAACAAAAGAATTTGGACTAAGAACTGGTGACATTTCAGCTTCTCCCACCTGCTTTGTATCTTCATCGGGAACAAGGTCAGCAGGAGATGGAAGGACCGGGAAGAGGAACACAAAGGGGAGACAGGAGGAAGAAAAGAGACTGGAGAATCACCTGCTCGAAGCCCTTCCTGAACGTACTGCGGCAGCCTGGGGAGTCCTGGAAGGGGAGGAAGTCAAGCTAAAAGGCAGGAGGCCCATTCCAGAGGGTCTGGGACTGTCAGGCAGGCCCCCCCCCC